TCAATCATTCAGCTCTACGGATTAGGGCTGCGACATCGACATTAATTTTTGTAAATAATCTATGGTTTGAGGTAAAATCGAATGCTCAAAGCATCGATCTTGTTTCCCGATATTTGGATAAAGTAGCTTTATTCGTTTGTGGTTGAGTGGTTAGATGTGTGACCTACCACTACGTAGGAACTTGTTTTGATCCCCGGTCCGAGCAACATCTAAAGTTATTTCGTGGCGAACCACCGAGTGTATTTCTACCATAAAAAAGTTTCTCATAAAATCCATTAGCTGTTTGGTGACAGCGTAAAACAATAAGTCCTTCCATTTTGTGTAACAACATCTAGAGGCACTGAACAAATTAGAGGAGCAGCTCGGCCAAGCACTTAGCAAAAGTGTAGGAACCCAAATATTATTTTATTAGGTTTGGTTAGGTCACCTCAAAACAATTTATTTTTGCTACTTATTCCTGGTCTCGAAATCTTTACTTCAGAATAATGCAACGCTAGAGTCAAAGCAACTGTACTTATAAGGAATATATTGACACCATATTCACTTGTATCTAAGTCTTCCGTGTCCTGGTCGATGGGCTCAGGTTTACGGCAGCCATAGTCTACTAGGATATATTACCAAAGTATGTGCAAAAGGATAGGTTACATACTAGTCGGGTCCAATGGCATCGCAATATTAATGTAACCATTTTTTCCCATATTTTTGGACCAAGTTGGTTACGAATGTTGGTTACAAGGAATCCTGGTCCTGTGTTTGTATTTAATCTAGTCACACTTTTTGCAGAGAAGCGTGAGCTAAAAGTAAGAGTGTTTTAATGCGCTTGTGCATGCTATCGCTTTCTGGTCGTTTCGCTCCCGTTTGTCTATGGCTGACATCGTCAGTTGCTTTGTATACGTACAAAATATAATGTTCCATAACTCCAAACTACAAAATATTGGTAATGTATACTTTTCCAAAATGCATCCGATAAGTTATCGAAAACATCGCTGGAGTAATCAGCGCTTCAAAGTTGTTTTTGGTTGCCATTCAAAATATGCAATGTATATGGTTATAAGGTTTCGCAACTCTGCATATACAAACAGTTTAAATACCGCAGTAAACAGAATCCAGACGTTTTGGAAGTAAGCCTATGTTTTTCTGCAATAAAATACTCAAATCAATTAAGCCATTCGACTGAACTCTTGGCACTACGACTCATTTCGGTATAATTTTGAATGGCTCAATGACACAATTCGCTCGCCGTCTTCAAAAGAGGCACAACTCCAAATTTGGCATTTTCGCAATTATGCAATAAAAATGTACACTGAGCTTTTATTTACCTGTCAGCAAAAGCTGGAGCAAATTTTTGTTATAACTTGTTAAAAAAAATCTTAGGTAAAGTCCCATGTGATTATCATGTGCTAAGAAATAGTTTTTCGCATTTTCTAAGCAACGTGTAATTTTGGGTTGTTACCCTCTTGAAGACGGTGTGCGAATTGAGCGTACATCGGTTCACACCAACACAGAACTTAGTCATTCCCTGATTCCAAGACTAACCTAAAATTAACCAAAATGCACATACAAATGTGGTCCAATTAACAGTTGCAATCCCGTACGAGTCAAACTAGTCAGAATTAAAGTATCAACAGAATCAAATCGCTGAGCGAATTTCGTCGGACGGTTTTTACAGTTTTACTAGTTTAAGTCCGAAACACAAAAAAACTCCAAGGGATTACTCCATGGAGCATTTTTCTGTAATACCGCAAAAAAGTGCTCAAATTTTGTATAAAAACATTCTGTAAGAGACTTTTTGATATGAAGAATCCGTTTCTGCACTTATCTTTTTTTTTAAACTTTTTAAAACAGAGGCCGCCATAGTGTAATTTCTCACCTTTTCTTCGGAACCTATTTTCGCAATTCGGCAAATTCCAAATTCATTTTAGACCCATAGTTTCTTCGGAAAATTGGCTTAGAATTATACGTACAATATTCCTATGCTATACGCGCAAAGTAAAAAAGAAAATGACCCGCCCTAACCTACATACCTCTTGGCAACACAGCCCAATAAATATCGCGTGGTCTTTCATATGGCTCATGAATTTCATTAGTACTCAAAAGCAGGACCAGATTTCTCAAAAGTTAATCTTTGCATACATTTAGGCAAACAGTAACTTTTAAATTAAATAAAACACCGTTTTGTTTTTTGACTTGTTTCTTGATTTATAATAAATTGACTTATTTGTTTTTGATCTACTGACAGATTTTACAAGGCGAAATTACTTAATTTCAGCGTAATTGACTGCAAAATGAGGAGCTAGTCCTAAATTAAGATCTAAACCAAAATCAAATACTTAATCATAGAAAGCATTTTAAGACCAAAGGAGCAGAAATATTTTTTTTTATTGGAATATCTCTTAATAAAAATACTAAAAATATACGATAAATAACAGTGGATCACAAGTTTGTGTTTGGTTTTTGCTCCACAGATGCCCATATTCATTTTCCATCTTGAATTGACCGCTTATTCCAAAAATCGAGTTAATTTTTTATTCTATGGAACGTTTTCTAGATATTTTCAATTTACCGTTATTCGGCTTAAAACAAAAGGTATTTCCACTTAGTCACGTATATCTCACGAACCAATTTAACAATTCGAAAATTAAATACGACAAATTAAAGCTAACAAAATTTTCCATAAACCGTCTATAAATCTTATTCCGATAGGATTCTGATATTTCATACTCATTACTTCTTGATTTATCCATCGATTTTCTTCATTAGTAACTTAATTTTTTGTAACAGAACAGGCTTTAGCACAAATGCAAACATTTTTCACAGAACCTGTTATTTTTTTAATTTTTCTTCTGTTAAAGTTTGATTTTTTTCATATGTTCATCAAAAAAAAACAAAAAATCTGGAATGATTAATTTATTTGTCAGAAACTATCAGACCTATTGGAAATTGATGTATATACGGTCGATGTAAAATTTCGTTAGCTTTCATTTACCGTATTTCATATAAATATTGTTAAATTGGTTCGTAAGATATACATACGGGATTAAGTGGAACCATTTTTTGTTTTAAGCTGGATAACGGTAAATTGAACATATCTTGTAAACTTATCCATAGAATAAAAAATTAAGTCAATTTTCGGAATCAGCGAGCAATTCTATATAGAAATTGGATAGTGAAATTGAACATTTTTGCTGTAAACCAGTGTAATTAGTTTCAAAAGACCACACAGTATTGATAAGTTGCTATTTTTTTGTGTGCATAAACACATACACAACGCTGTTAATTTTACAAGTGAAGTAAATCTCACCCATCCCAGTGTTGCCAGAGATGATATTTATCTAGAAAATGAAGACTTATTAAAAAAAAATTGGGTCAAAATTTTAAACTGAAGATATTAAAATGAAAACAAAATTCCATATAAAAAATCTTTATTATGAAAACTTCTGCAGAACTTGAAGATTTTCTATGTAGTTTCAACAGCAGATGTAAAATGAGCTTTTTTCAGATTAATTTAAATAAAAGAAAAATTGGCAAGAAGATGGAAACTACCACTTTAAGAGGTATTCTTCACATATATAATTTATATACTTTAAAAATGAAACACTTTTTTTATTGAGCTTGAGGCCGTTTTATGGAAAAATTATTGTGGAAAAAAACGACAATAGTTTACGAATGGGAATAGCTGCTATTCCAGAGATCACCACATCTGCTTACCAGAGTTCAAGGGCATTCTTTTTGCCTCTAGTCGACTTTTTTCGAAACTTTGTACAGAGTATAGAAATTGCTTAATATGATTTATTAAGACAAAAAAAAAAAAACAAATAGTCTACAAATCTTAAATCATAAAGATATAAATGGAGGATCTAGACGAAAAGTGATAAGTAAATTTTATGCAGAGTATGTTGGGATTTTTTGTTTTCGCGTTTTCTAAGTTCGAATGTGCGTAAGGAAGAGTAAGTATTCAAAATATCCTTTTAAAACTGTATCCTTAAGTATCCTTGAAATTTTGCAATAGTTATTTTTGAAAACATTATATGTATGTTAGAACTGCATATGTACATTAACTTGGCCACATTCTCGAATTTCGAACTTCTAACTTTATAAGCTTAGAGGAAATTAAATTAATTAAAAGACCATTCAATACTTTTTCGTCCTTGTGAACTAAAAAATTTTAGTTTTTTTTGTAAATTCTGCGAAATGTTCTCTTTCATTTGGTATCTGAATATTTCAAATAATTTTTGGAATTAATGATATCTTTGAAACTATAAAGTTCTTTAAAAAAATTTGGCCCATAGTTTCATGAGTTTATTGATTGCTTCGTGTGTTTCGAAATTCAAGAAATTTCTGGCAACACTCTCTCATACTACTACAATAAGAAACGGGATTTCCGAATGGTGACTATTTCCAATATCTGCAAGGCTTCAATACTTACATTATACCCTTTTCACTAAAACGTTAAATATAAGTTATAAATAAATTTTTTTTGTTATGTAACAACAATTCCTCAACTTAAATCAATTTAACTAATATTGTACGACATAACTTACAATTACTTCGTTGTACGAAAGTGCTTAAAAGCATTATGCGTATACATATATGTATATTAGAGTGACTGAAAATTGACAATTATTTTTTAATTAAATTCTTCAAAAAACGTCTGGTATTTGATTGAGCACTCAGTGTGAAGCAGTATTAATTATATTTTGATCCCTAGGATGCTAACAAATCTAAATACTAATCGTTTCACTGAAACCGAGCTGTGTTGTCCCATAAAATCTCTTATAATATTTTCATCACTTACATTAAGTGCTTTTAACCGGCACTAGGCATTCCAAAAATATACTGCATATTTCTCTATTAGTGATTAGTAAAAACAAATCTACCTAAATTTAATAATAGGTAGCTACTGCCTACATGCAATATTGTGGTATGTAGCATACCTTGAGGCTGAACTTTGTACGGTTAATACAATATTTTTTTTTTGTTTTTTGTAAATTCCATAGCATTTAAAATTATGTTAGTCCCACATTAATTATTCATCCAATTTGTTTGAATTTGGTCCATTTTTGTTATTACTCAAACGTTTAGTAAGTAATGAATCGGTTAAATGTGTAGATGTGTTAGAGTTGGTCACCGCAGGTGAATCCTTTGGCGAGGTATTTGTGAGTTTTTGTGCCATATAAGCAGTTTCTCTTACTTTAAAGCAACGAATATTGAAGTGATCGCACATTTCGCAAACCTGTAAAGGCAGAGGAAGCAAAACATAGACGAGAGTGTTATAAAAAGATAAGGGTTTTAGGATGCTATTGTAATTTTTCTACGTTGGATGTATGTATGTATAATGATTCCGTATTTTTATAGCAGTAACATTAACGATAAATTTTAAACATGAACTTTCAACTAAAATAGTAAACTCCTTAAAATATGCAGCGTTTTATTTTGATAGCGCTCACTTTTTTTCGCTGCACAGTTTTCTGTACAAAAACTCAACTATTTAATATACATTTCGTACTTACCACTCCTTGTGCGTAATGCAGATGCGCAATGGTCACGAATATCGTTAACGCCTGCACAATCCAACATTCCATTTCGGCGCTAATATCGCTGCCCCACAATTGTTCGTACCGCGGAAAGCAACAAACAGCCACAGTAGCCAATAGTGGCCACATGAGTAGATTGAAACCATCACAGCGAGTGTCGGACATTTGCGCCACTATCAAGCGACACTGTATCGCGGAAGCAGAGAAATAATGAAAAAAAAAAAAATAAATATTAGCTATTTAACGGAGAGCAAAATGTTATAGATAACAATAAACGAGCACATAACATTTAAAAGCTAGACAACAGTAAGTATGTATTACCAAATAACTAATAAGTATTCCACATTTGAAAACGAATACCCATAAGAGGATGTGACATGCCATCAACTCGCTCATCAGCATGGATGGCAACGATGTTATTAAGCGCAAAAGTGGTACTTAAATAGGTGATGCGAAAACATCATTGTCAGCTCAAAAATGTGTGCAACGTTGTTTTCGTTTTACGAATTGTCCAATGATACATTAAAAAATTCACAGTGATGGGAAAAATTTATCGAATGCAACCTACTCTACTGGAGTGGAAAGGGAGAACAGAAGACATTTGATATAGGTTGCCTACGTAGTATATGATTCTGAAAACGCAATATATCTCTATATATTTTAGCGCAATAAAGAAAGGTGATCTACGTTCGCGTTCGTCTCGCTCTAATTGCGATCTTAAGCTCCCTTAGAAAAATTCAGTGTGCCTATTTGTCAAACTACTTTTTTATATTAGAACGATTTTTTTGAAAAAGTATACATATTTTCTAGTATATTATGTTATAATCCCATATAGCGAAATTTACAACAATAAAATGCACTACAGAATAATAATTTTTAACCAAATAACCCAAAGTGGTCATCCTGATAGCAAGCCTAAGATTGGGAAAAGGGCAAGAAAGGCGCGTCGGTTGCGTAGTACTGCTGCAGGGGAGCTCTTGGTAAGAGCATGGGGTCTCTCGCCCAAAGTAATTCATTAGGTCTATGTAGATTATCTTGTTTTACGGAGCGCTTGCCTGGTGGAAATCACTAGAGAAGGCTACTCTTCTTAAGCAGCTGCCTAATCGGCATTAAACGGGCGTTAAGCACCGCACCTGCACACATTACTGCTGTTATTTTTATTATGTCTATCGATTTCTATAGCATTTTTGTATTTTCACTGTAATGGTCATCCTTATGATTATATCATATCTAGTTATTAATAAAATTTCAAAATTTTATTTTAATGAAATATACACCTTTAGTACTTTTTAGCTGTAGTTATTGATTTCGACATTGTTATCAACTAAAATTTTCATTGCTTCATTTCATGATTTTATCGTAAGCGAAAAAATTTCGATTTTATTTTATGTTGCATTTGAGTATTTTCATTGCTAAATATGAAATGTAGTCGTCATTAATATTCGTGACTAATATTTTTATTTCTTTTTTTTCAGAAAATTGTGGGAGTTGTAATTCGCTGAAGTTATATAAATCAAAAAGTGAATTTTGAATCTATTAGTTATGACTTTTTGCATTTCAGCGATGATGTTTGTTACGTCTTTTTGAGTTTCAGGTGACGATATGTATGTATGTAGATTTGGAATTTGTTTCCGAAATATACACCTTTAGCACTACTTAGCTATAGTTATCGATTTCATTATTGTTAACTTTAAATCTAAAACTTTCATCGTTACCGGTACCAAATATTAATTCCCATTTTTACTGATGATTTTATATCGTTATTGGCATCGTTATTATCATTATCGATTAGCATTGCATGTACAAGTATTTTTATCGAAACCGGCATCACTTCGTTATTGGTTTTTAATTGAATACCATTGCTGTATACATTATTGTCGTTATCCAAATTTTCAAACTTGTTTCGTTATCGATTTCATCATATTGATTTGTTATTGCTGTTCTTAGAGAAGTTCTTATCGTTACTTTCATTTTTACAGTTATCGATATTTTTATGAACAGCTATATTATAGCTGTATCATTGTTATTATCAGTTTTTATGATTACGTATGTAAATATATTGTTAACGTTATCCAAAACTTCATTTGAGTACTTTCATTCTTTTTTATTGTTCAGTATCGATGTGGTCATCGTTATCAATATTTTTGTGATTATCTTTTACCTGGAAAAAGTTTCCCTGAAAAGCGTTAAGGTAATTAGCTGAGCCCTCCCTTCCATAGGACACTTTGGTTGTATATTTTTTATGTGACTATCCAAAATCCTCTTACAGAAAAAAACTTACTTTTTTGATTACTTTTCGCAACGAGCTCCATTTTTTTGCAGATATATAATTCTTGTCCGTAGAAGTAACTTTATTTTGTCACATGCATGCACTTAGATTTAAAAACATACATACATATATGCGTCATAGAAATGTTTGTACGAATTAGGGATGTTAATTTTTTCACTTTTTACGATCCCGAGATTTTCGAGATGTTAACACAATCACGGGACCCCGGTACCTGTCCTGGGATTTAGATATTCATTACTTTTCAGCAGCTTAAATCGAAAAAATGTTTCTATATTGTTTGGGAAGCTCTCCTACCATAAAATAAGTAATAAATAAATGGGTTTGAAACCTAATTTTTTATTTAAAGTAACGACTTTATTTCTCTCTCTGACGTCAGCGTTTAATTTAAAGGACTTTGCAATTTCAAAGATATGATTGATTCCAAAAATTATTTAAAAAATGCAATGCAATGTAGAATAAAAATATGGGTACAAAATGAAAGAGGAAATTTCTTTAGAATTAAAAAAAAATAATAATTTGTTTGGATTCATAAGGACGAACAGGTAATTTTTTAAGCTGATAAAGTTAGAAGCACGAAATTCGAGGATGTTATCGAACTTTTACAAGTCCTTAACATACAACTTTCAAAAAAATAAATATTGCAAAATTTATAGGACAAAATTTTAAAAGGACATTTTCAATACTTACTAGTCTTTCTGCACCAAAAAATTGAATCTGTTTAAATTCTACAGGATTTTCTTATTTTCTTTTCAATTTGGTACCTATACTTTTTCTCTAAGCACATTTCACCGAATTTTTTAAATCATTTTTGCCTTACTGACGTCAGAATGAAAAACCAAAAACGCAATTTTACTATATTTGGCCCATGGATCCCGGGATTAACATTCCTAGTATGAATGTATGCACCCACAAAGCTTAAGCCTCAATCAAGTGTAGGGAACGCTCGCTGGATATCAAAGTGTGCATTCATGCACTCATTTTTACACACACACATATGTACATACATGCATCTATCCATATCTAAGTGGATATGCACTTACCGCAATATTGGAAAATAACGTTCCGAAGAGCACGAATAGTATGCGCGGCGACAGATCAATGATGCCATTACGCGAGTAAAAGCACCAAAATGTGCCGATTGCGAAAAGCCAAAGGAAGGGGAAGAGTGGTCGCGCCGCCTCCATGAATGGAAGCATTTTACCGGTTTTATTTTTGTATGACCTGCAAAATAAAATGAGCATGAATGAATATTTGCACTCACATTAATACATACATACACATGTATGCATTTATGACGTTTTTGTTGTTGTCCGAGAGAATGCAATCACTTTTATATGTAAAGAATAGTCATTAAAACATAGCATACATGTATGTATGTATAAATACACAAGTTTACAAATTCAGGTCAACTTTTGGATCTGAGCAGATAAGAGCGATTCTTAACTATATTTGATATGCTGAATTCGAATCTGCATTCAGTTTTTCAAGATTGATTCTAGTTTCCGAGATCTCGCATGATAGCACCATTGTGCTGTTATAGCAGCTTTTAAATCGTGGCACTGCTTGATAAGTAAGTAAAAATGGCAGAATGTTCATAAAAGTATGAACATATAACTACGCCGCTCTAAAATAAGTAAATTTATACAGTCCACTAGAATTTAAGATAATATTGTCATACATACATACTTACAAAACAAACAGGATAAGGTACCTAAACCTATCACACATACACACACATATGTACACACATACAGTCCACTTGAGGAAAGATAAGTATAAACAACCTTCATACAAAACAGATGGTTTCTTAATATTCAAGCAATGCCTTTGAACAAACAAACAATAGAATCAATAGAACAATAGAAGCAAACAATAGAATAAACTAAGAAGACATTAAAATTAGTCCTTTGTCTAACATTAGATACACAAACGCACTTACAAGTATAGTTACGTTTAGGAACATAGTTTTAAGATTTAGTATATAAGCAAATGTAAAATAGTTTAAGACTCAGAATTAAAATATATTCTAAACCATCAACACCATTATATAAAAATAAAAATGCAGAGACAGTGTTGCAAAGTTGATCCAAAGTGTTTTTGTTACGTTTGTGGTGGTTATATGATTAAAAAAAGTGGCAAAATAATAACAAATGCGCTCAAAGATGCGTATCTGCACTACTTTGGTTTCAGCGTAGCAGACACTCATAAGTCATGGAGACCGAAATTTATTTGTAACGCATGCAAAACAAAGCTGTATAAGTGGTCATCGGGAGAACGTGAGTACTTTTCCTTTTCAATGCCAGCGCTCTGGAGAGAACCTAAAAACCATAAAGATGATTGCTACTTTTGTTTGATGAAAGTTACGGGTATAAATGCAAAAAAATTAGCAAAATATAATTATCCTGATGTATCATCAGTATCCAAGCCAGTTCCACGTACTGCTAATGATCCATTGCCAGTTTATCGAAGTATAAGTGCAAACGTCCTGGAAACTTTAACTCCATCACCCCCGAGCAGTGAAAGCGACTTTGTCATGGAAGGGCCACATTTAATTTTGCAAGATGAACTAAGCGATTTGATTCGTGATTTGAATTTGTCCAAACAAAAAGCAGAGTTGCTAGGATCACGGCTGCAGCAATGGAAAAATCTAGACTCTCGAACAAAAGTTACTGTATACAGAAACAGAAATGAGGCACTTCGACCGTTCTTCAAAAAAGAAGACAACATAAGTTTCTGTAACGATATTAATGGTTTATTTAATGAAATGAATGCACCCTACGATCGAAACGAATGGCGTTTATTCATTGATGGTTCCAAATACAGCCTAAAAGCTGCTCTTCTCCACAACGGGAATAACAAACCATCTATTCCGATTGCTCATGCAGTACAAACGAAGGAATGCTACGAAACAATGCGGAAGATCCTGTGCTTCATCAAATACAATGATCATAAATGGAAAATATGTGGTGATCTAAAGGTATAAACATTAATTCCAATTAAATCGAAAACACTTATTTTTTATATTATTTCAACAGGTTATTGGCATCTTAACTGGGATGCAATCTGGATTCACCAAATTTTGTTGTTTCTTATGCTTGTGGGATAGCCGCGCAACTGAACATCATTATGTGAGGAAAGAATGGCAAAGTCGTACTCAATATGAGCCTGGACAGCAAAACGTCTCCGCTGAACCACTTGTAAATCCACAAGACATTTTCCTGCCACCTCTTCACATTAAACTTGGTCTTATAAAGAACTTCGTCAAAGCATTAAACCGTGAAGGACCGGCTTTTCAGTACTTAGTCAAGTTGTTTCCTAAATTGTCATATGCAAAAATCAAAGAAGGAATATTTGTCGGACCTGATATTAGAAAACTAATGGCTGATAAAGAATTTACAAAATGTTTAACGCCCGATGAAGCAGCCGCGTGGGCATCTTTTCAAAATATCGTTCACCACTTTCTTGGTAATCACAAATCCCCTAATTTTGAGGAAATTATTGGCGATATGTTGGAAAATTATCGCAAGATTGGAGCTCGGATGTCTCTAAAGATGCATTTTCTGCATTCCCATCTCGATTTTTTTCCCGAAAACTTGGGTGATACGAGCGACGAACAGGGAGAGCGGTTACACCAAGATCTAGCCAACATTGAAAGACGATACCAAGGATTTTGGGATGAAGGCATGATGAGCGACTATTGTTGGACTCTAATACGCGAAACAGATACTAAACAATACAAAAGGCAAAGTTCCACCAATCTTCATTTCTGATTTGTTACTTTTAAGTTAATAAAATGAATATTATTTGACAAAAATCTTAAAAAATGAATTTATTGACTATATTAAAAACTAGAATCAATCTTAAAAAACGGAATGCAGATTCGGATTCAGCGTCATAAATTGACTTAAAAACCACTTTTAGTTGCCCAGATCCAAAACCGTGTATACTTGTGATATTTATATAGTAGATATACTTAAATTTTCAGTGTAATTGCATTTTTTATTCGAAATTCTGCAAATTTTTAAAATACTTACAAATATATATTTTTTATGATAATTGGATGACTGCTTATCATGCTCGAAGTCAGTAGCACAAACTCAAATATATTTGCCATACTGACATTCAAAAATGGGCGTGCATGCCAAATATTCGGACCGACCAGTGTGGTGAAGAATAACATTAAGCTGACGCCCTGTAGGAAGAGAAAAATGTAATGGTTAGAAAATGAATATGGAGGTACTAATCTAATTAGGAAAAGCGCTGCGTCCATAAAATGAAATTTTGCAGGCAGAATAACCTTCAACGCTTTTTCGAAAGTACGAGTCGAGATGTTTAGACCTAAGCTTTGCAAATGGTGGAGAGCTTCGTAGATGTGGATCACATGTGGTCCCCTGATAATCTCCGACCACGCTGTTAGGAATACCTGTGGACGCGCTTCCAGCTAACAATCGATATCTTAAGCGAACTAAGATTTATTCTGATGCAACCGAAGGAGACGAGACGCTTTCTCCGACTACGAATTGGCATCCCTATACACCCACATGCCAATTCTGGCAACTGTCTTTCACCTCACCACAGTCTTTCGAAAGACAAAAGTTTTCGTAAGACAATTGTCAACTCTGGCAACTATCTTGAAAGCTCTTTACTGTCTTCCAAAAGACTAATTGAAAGATCTGCTAACGAGGAGCTCCAAGGAGCTGTTCTCCTTTAAGCAATAAGTTTTTTTTATTAAATTAAATTTAAAAGATATATATATGTTTTCTTTTTAAAACGATACAAGTAATAAATAAATTAAAATAATATTAAAAAAGAAAAATAAAATTAAAATTAAAAGAAAAAGAAAAAACGAAAATAATAAAACTAACTGAAATTAAATTAGCTAAAGAAAAAAAATTTATCAAAAAGAAGGAAATCATACTTAAAAATTACATATAATTAAAAAAATATATTTTTATTATAAAAGCGACATCTAAAACTTAAAAGAAAATTAAATTAAAAAAGGAGTAAAATAAAGTAATATCTTAAAAATTAAATAAAATAAAATTATTTATTTTTCTTTTTGAAACAATAAAATTCAAAAATTATAAGTAAATTAAATTAGCAAAAGGAAAAACAAATTAACTTCAAAAAAGAAAAAATTAATAAAGTTTCTAGAAATTAAATGAAATTAAAAAATATAGTTTTATTTTTTAAACAATAAAAAAATAATAACAATTTAAAAAGGTGATAAAATTGTGTGAAATTAATAAAAAAAAATCTTCTTTTGAAACCAATAGCATCTACACATTAAAATAAAATTAAATTAAGAGATAAAAAATTGATAAATTGAAAAAGAAAACATACCTACAATAAGTTTCTAAAAATTAAATGAATTACAAAATATATATTTCTCTATTATAATAATAAAATCGTAGAGTTAAAAGAGAATGTAAATTAAAAAATAAATTCGCTGTCCGGGGACTCACTCACTTGGTCGTTGCAAAATAACTTTTCACTGCAAGTGGTGAAGGAGAGAGCTCTTTCCTAAGACTTATTTGCTAGAATAACAAAAGTCTTTCGAACTATCTTGCCTTTTAACTTTCTGAGCCAGAATTGCCCTGTTAAATACAATCGCCATTTCATAGACTATCTAACAGGATTTTCTGAAACATACAATTGTGATCTGGAAGCCAAAATCTGAGATTTAAGGAGATTTTCGTTCCTCTCTCAACCCTTTCGTCAAGCATTGGCCCTATGCCAGAAGAATCTAGCTATGGCAAGTATGTGAAGATTTTTTTACACGTATCTTAAGTAACGTAAGCATTCTCTTCGCGTTCCTTAATCTATATAAGGTCCAATAATTCTGTTTCCGAAAATCAATATAAAATTCAATCGATTTCAGATTAATTGGTACGTCTGCTTTAAGCCAGACTGAAAAGTTGTCTGATTGTTAAAAGTTTATACTTTTATTTTGTTTCAAAGAAGATTATTGGAAGAGCATAGCTTGAGAACATACGTTTATTGTACAACAAAAAGTTTATGTTGTAAGAAAAGTTTGTTAAAAGGCATTCGGGAATTTAACTTTAACTTTAAGCATACCGAAAATTAATTTTTTCTGAGCACCTATCAGTTTTTAAATATTAATACAAACCATTTTCAAAAGATTTATCATTTCCCTTGCTTTTACGATTGCTTCTCGCTCCAGTGCAATTACCAAATCCATATCATTTCAACATTAAAAAAAATCCCCTCTTTCATTTCCATCGCCTTTGCAATGCAACTGCCCGCAATTACATCTGGCCGGGTACACCAACTCATGCAGAATTTTGTTGTTTTTTTTTTTTGCTTTCGTGATACTCGTAACTTACCCACATCGTGCAATCGTATCCCCACGGCAAGAACATAACTCCGGTGTTGTACTTTTCGACATGTGTCAAATAAAAATTAAGAAAAACATTCCAAATAACCCAAAACATATGAATCGGCGGCAAGTCATTTGTGCCAAATAGTGAAAACATATAAATGGGTATGAGCGCAGCGGAGTAAGAGTCCAGACCGTGGTCAAATAGTTCACCCAGCGGACTGCTGGTGCCAGTGCGACGTGCCTGCTTACCATCCATGCCATCTGCGGTTGTGTTGAGAATGGGGAACGGGAAGAAATGATTAATAAAACTGCACATATGTAGGTACATACATGTTTATGTATGCAAATGTCAGGTAGAAAATTTCTGACTACGTGTGTCTATAAACGAGTGGACTAAATTTGAAACTTCTCACAATTGCCAAATTACCGGGCATATTTAAACGAGTTACCTTTACAAATACATATGCATGCATGTACATTAGACAGCATCATTCCCCATACAAAAAAAAATCGGTACTATTTTTCCATTGGAATTATAAAATCTATTATATTTTAAGACGTCCACCAAAATATTTCGGAAAAATATTAAGATTTAAGTGAGCTGGGCCGATTTGAAAATGGAGTTTTTTATGAATAAAAATAGTTTCTTAAAGGTTTTTTTTGAAAAAATCCCCTCAAATGACAAAACGGTTTAAGCTTAAAATATTTGCATACAAATATTATAAAAAGTTCAAAAAAAATTTTGAACGGAATCGTAATGATGAGATTTTTGATGCTGTTTTTTAACTTTTTTCAAAGATTGGTATAGGAAAAACTTGAATAACTGAACCTAAACTCTTCCGATTTAGACTTAGAAGGTGTCATTGGAAAGGTATTTTCTCACACTTTTTATTTCTTTGCTAATAAACTCATTCCAAGGATGGAAGAGAAAGGTAGGATGAAGGAACGTCATTCAAAGTTGAATTAAGATGTGTTGGTACTCGAAAAAACAAGATGGGACACGAATGACGTTTTTTTGGCCAGAAATAAAAACAGTGTAAAAATACCTTTCTCTAAGTTTAAATCAAAACATTTTTGGCCCAGTTATTCAAGTTTTTCGTAAACCAATCTTTGAAAAAAGTAAAATAACAGCATCAAAAATCTCATTCTTACGATTCCGTTGAAAAGATTTTTAAATATTTTTATGCAGCTTTTTTAAGCTTAATCTAGTTAGTCATCTGAGGGGACTTTTTTCAAAAAGTTCTTTAAGAAACTATCTTTATTCATAAAAAACTTCATTTTTGGAGGTATCTTCAAATCGGTCCAGCTCGCTTGGTGGACGTCTTAAAATATAGTAGATTTTGTAATCCCGGCGGAAAAACCGCAACTTTTTTTGGTGATGCAGTCTAATGTCTATATGCCATTATGACATCTTAAACGAATAGTGTACTAATTCGATTACAGACGAAAGTTATCGGAAATATATAGCAAAGAGGAAAAACCGCTGATTGTTTCGGACCAACCGACTTGATTCTATTTTATTGTCAGTAGCTGTATATGTATATGAGTATAGAGGTGCATATGCAGATATGAATACTTTTAATGTTGTTCTTTAAAATTTTTGCTATTAACTTATTCAGTACATAAAAGTATATTATAATGCACTTGGCTTGAAAAAAACAGAGTTTAAAGTAATCAAATATGTGTATTTATCCTTTTCTTCTTCCTTTACCTTATCCTGATACTGATTCTTCTCTTTAATCTTTTTCTTATCCGTATCCTTATCCTTATCGGTCTTATTATTTTACGTACCACTAATTTGTATATTTATCCTTATTATTATCCTTGTTTTGGTCTTTATTTTTACTCTTTCTTCTTAAACCTATGTATCTCTAAGCCTATCCTTAAATTATCCATATTTTTCTCCCATTTCTTTCTTGTCCTAGCACTTGTCCTTATCTTTATCCTTATCCGTATCATTATCCTTATCCTTATCCTTATCCTTATCCTTATCCTTATCCTTATCCTTATCCTTATCCTTATCCTTATCCTTATCCTTATCCTTATCCTTATCCTTATCCTTATCCTTATAATTAGCATAATCCTTATCCTTATCTATATCGGTATCCTTGTCCCCATCCTTACCAATACAATGCTTATGACATAGTTAAATTTTTATTCTCTAACCTAACCAAAAATTTTCCACAGCAGTAATATTTGGCAATAGCGAACCAGCTTCAGTTGGCAAATAAATACATTGACACAACCGCCACCATAGTCACAAAACCGACCACTTAAACCGCCGCACTGCTGTGTGCCGCGAAACTTACCTAAATTGTAGTAAAGTAAAATATTAATAGCCGCCACCGACCAAACCCAGCGCGGCACTGTGTGTACGGCATTGTTCGCTCCCTGGAAATCCCAGTCGTAATATGCAATTAAAATGAAATTGACCACGGTCAACAGGAAGCCGGTGAATGTGATGAGATTCGGAGCTAGCCATTTGGGTAGAAACTGCAATAAAACATTTTGCCATACATATGTATGTATGTATTTCACAATTTACATACTATAGCATGTGCATAGATTTAACTTAAAATTTTCAGTATCTGCATATGCATGTACGTATGTATATACGCGTGTATGTGTTTTAGTAGATATTTTGTTGCTGCGGAGCTTGTAACGGGTGATTTTTTTGAGGTTAGGATTTTCATGCATTAGTATTTGACAGATCACGTGGGATTTCAGACATGGTGTCAAAGAGAAAGATGCTCAGTATGCTTTGACATTTCATCATGAATAGACTTACTAACGAGCAACGCTTGCAAATCATTGAATTTTATTACCAAAATCAGTGTTCGGTTCGNGATTTTGCAAATTTTATGCGTTTTTTTTCAAGCTCTTAAAAAATCACCCGTTACAAAATTTTACAATTATAACAGGCACGACACTCTCCAATCCAACCGTATGTGTTTTACTTTGGGAATTGCGGTGAAAAGGTTAGGTTACAGTTTTAACTGATTCCATGAACAAGTGGAAAAAGCACACAACTTAAAAGTGTGGACTGTATAAATACATAGCACTGAATCCTTTACATACAAACGCACACATACATACATATGTAGACATTGGTGCTTATTAACCCTACAAGACATTGCTGAGCACTTTAGGCAAAAATTCTCACACATTTACACTTTTGTTTTTGTAGTACGGCATAAATGAGTAGTTTGACTATTAGTACTGAGGACTTTCTGATGACAACATTGAGGGGAAAGTACTCAATTTTTTCCCATGGCCTGAACGAAAATGAGGACTTTGATAAGCACTTTTGTGATTAGGAGTAATGATAATATGAGTACTCATATGATACTCAGCTGTCTTGTAGGGAAGTTATTTATATACATATGTATATGCATGTAAACACTTAAATACAAAGGTAGCTGCTGTCAAAGTCTCTTTGCACTAAAGCACAGTATTTTTCGACTTACCTGCACACACCAGTTCCAAAAAGGATGCATTATATAGACGCTGATGTAGCCAGTGTCGATGCAGTTGTACTGAAAGCAATAAAAAAAAAAGAAAAAAGTATAAAAACATATGAAATACATAGTGGTATGCGGCAAAGGAAGTAGGAAGTCAGTATGTCAGCATGTGTGAGTATGTGCATATGTTTGGTAAAAAGCTGAAAATAATTATAAATTGAGATGGTGGGAGCCCACATACAGTAAGTGGGAGTAGCAGCTGAAACCACATGATTCAATTAATTTTTCAACAAATTCGAGTACTACTGGGTCGTACATTATTGACTAGTTGTAGTAATTGAATTTTTTCCTATGCCATATCGCGCATACATACATATGTACATAGGTACGTCGTACCCAGTACGGCATGGCTCAACCAATTAACTCAGAAAAAGCAATTTATTTCGGCTTAATTATGTAGCAACTAACTTAAAATTTATGTATCTATAATCACCTAGCAGCCTCCTTGAGATAAACCAAATGCTTACACTTTTGATACCTGTGCAAATGCATAATTCAATATTAGTTGAAAAATCATCTAACTTAGGCAATTATGTAAATATTTCAGCATTTAATACTAAGTAATTTAAAATTGGTTGAAAATACACATACTGACTTTGAAGTGCTTTAAGCCAAATGCATTTTAAAGTAGTTGAAATCAAACGCAGAGTCGGATAATTCACTGCTTCCTAGGACATCGCCATGTTAAAGTAAACAATTCGTTCCAAGGAAGAAAATCAGATCTGCAATTATTTAGTTGAGGTGGGTAAAAAACTGGTTAATCCGCATCCATCGATAGATTATATAATAAAAAATAAAAATAATTAAAAAATGAAAAAACCAAATATCTCATTGAATAATAAAGTATTTTTCCATATTTATGAAATTGATGCACAACGTACTTTGTGTTACACAAAATTCCGACCGATGCGGGTTAAACATCGTTAAATATCGATATTATTTCCGTACAGGGTAGGTACTAGTACTTTACAAAGACAACTGGGCTTCAATAGTGATACAACAAGCGAAAAAAAACGATACGAAATGCATATCCGTTTATTGTGTGAAGGATTTCTTTGAATACTCGCAGTGGCAAAGGGGATAAAGACATATGTAGTGGTAATTTTTCGTACATTAATTTCGAAGAAATGCAGTAATCAAAAGTAGGGATGTCAGTGGCCAAAATACATCCATGTTTTTCCTCGAATCGATGCATCGGCGGGCGTACATCGCATATTTTTTATTTTTTATAAAAATATTGTTCATGCTTATACAAAATTTAGAAAAATTTAGAAAAATTCAACAAATTTTCATCACTATTTTAAACTTTTTAGTCTTTAGAACATTTTTGGGTATGCTGTTTTATAGCTCATAAAATTTTAGTGTAACAAAGTGCAAGTTAGCCAAAGCAAAAATATTAAAAATCAAAGCAATTGAAACTTGCACTTTATTAGGCTAAAATTTTATGAGCCATAAAATTGCATCTTGCTTTCTTTGAATTTCAGACAAAGCGATGTTTTGCGGTTCAATGTACTAGAGATGTCAGTTTACAGAAAACATCGATGCATCGACTATTTATACATCGAGTGGAAAATGTTCGATGCATCGAAGCAAAATATCGATATTTTCTATGTATAGATGTTTTTTTCACATCCCTAATCAAAAGGACCTGTACCTGTACATACAAAACTACTTCATTTAATGTCTATGAGGCATATTCGTAGTCAAAATAAACTCAGTTAGAGCTTTCTGACATTATTTTTAATGGAATATCTGCCAAAAAGCTGCAACCAACTTTAGAGTCGATTTATTTTCAATATAAAAATGCCCCTAAATTTTTTATTTCGCTTTCAGCAAAAAAAAAAAATTACTCAAAACAGGGTACTGTAAACTGCTAGTTGTTGGCAACTTTTTTTCACGACTATTGCGTAATAAGAAACGTAGCAGCCAAAAAAAAAAAAAATCAAGTGCTACAATTTTTTTGTGTAAGTCATGTGAGATTTTTTTTTATAAAAGTGATAGTAAGTGAAAAAAATGTTTGTTGTGTTTCTGGAGGTATAGTATAACATAAAATTATACAAAGATATATTACTTATTTTGTACAGGGCTTGGCATGCTAATTCATGCATGGCATGCATGATGATGGATTTGTCCATCAACTGTTTTCTTAATTATATTAGTATTTTTTTTTTTTTTAATTTGAATCTAGAGCATGAATGTAATATAATAATAACCAACCACCAAATAAAACCAACACCAAATGTGCGCACCTTTTATTAGGTAGTTGTAACTTGCCCCGTCCAGCGCATTTCTTGGATGGCGGTGACGTAAAAAGTAGTGTTCCCGAGGGCACTAGTACAAATCGAGTATAGTCGAATAACTGTAAATGCATACGCAAAAGCCATACTAAAATCCAGTATACTGCTGCCGAAACTGGTTAGATCACCCTAGTGAAAAATTTCGACCAATATCTCCACTGCAATATGCACCGAGAAAAGAGTTTAGTTACACTTATGGTCAGCTGATTAAGTCAAGTGAGATTTTGACAAGTTTTGGCTATTTTTCTTTTGTTTATTTATTGTTTCTATTTTTTATAAAAGTTTAGCACTTTACCTAACCAAAGCCACATAAATCCATATTTAAAACTCCGTACAAAAATTATGAAAATTCAGCAAACATTTGCACCCAAAAATTTTATACTTTTTATTCCGAATAATTAGAAAAATTGTTGGTATGCAGTTTTGTAGTTCATAAAATTTATTTAGCTGCAAAACTGCATACCGAAAATTCTGAAAAAAAGTTTAAAATTTGCGGGTGCAATTGTTTAAGTTTATTGAGTTTTTATAATTTTTGTACGAAGTTTGAAATATGGATATATGTCAGCCCGACATAGGCATAGTGCTAGACTTTTATAAAAAATATAAACATTAAATAAACAAAATACAATTTGCCAAAACTATATTTCCAAAAAAATATTTTTCTCTCAACAAACGATTATTTTATATTTGAATACTTAACATGGTTGTAGTTACCACACCATGTGTTGAGAGAAATTAATTTAACTGACTTTTCTCTGAGTGTGCACATTTTAACTATTTGGAATAAAATTTAATAAATTGCACCAAAGAGCGACTTTATCAGGCATAGTTAACTGCAAAAATAAGCTCAACGATTGTGTTTGCGCTAAATTAGCTACTTACTTCATGAAAAAGCGATTCGTATAGCAATCACTTAATCAAAACTGTTTAATTGATAGAAAAAATTTAAATCGATGCAAATCCCACTCAATGCATAAAACTACTTGTGCACCAGCACTGGCAATAAAAAGTTGCAGCCATTTTGTTTGCGTCGGTTTTCAAGTAAACACTTAAAACATATACATACATATATTTACATTAGACCACGTCAAAACAAAAATCATTCAATTCGACCGAAGTAAGACTCAAATTTTAGCATTTGGTATAGTAATGATCCTCCACGAATATTTCTTCTCTAGCACAATTCTAAGAGGTTCCGCGTCGAGCCTTTAGTTTTCACATAGAGTTCTTTTTTTTTGAGGGCAATATAATTTTCTAGGATCAATGAAAACGCTCGAAACAGTAAGAATACATTGATTATATGCCATTTAAGTATTATACATGCTCAAAATTTATACTAACAATCCCTTGAAAAGAAGTAACATTATTATGGAATTTTTATCGAAGAAAAGTGAAAAAAGCTTATATATAATACTTGCGCCGGGTATCTAATGTTCGGCTCCGACAGAATTTAGACTTTTTTACTTGTTTTTTTTTTTGTGACGTGGTCTTATGTATGTACATTAGGGTGGTCCAAAAATACACGTGGAAAAGTAAAGTCGGAATTTTTATGCTCTCACCCCCTAGGCTTGTTCTATACCGAAAAAGATTTATCCCAATTTGTTTATTTCAAAATTAAAAAATATTTAGAGATCGCTCAAAGCGCCCAAAGTTTTCCATGTATTTTGTATGGGGAAAAAACAACTTTTCAAAATAAAAAAATAGAGGTATACTTTTTTTCGATATAGAACAATCCTAGGGGGTGAGAGCATTACAATTCCGAGTTTACTGTTTTTGGACCACCCTAATGTACATACATATGTGGTACATATTCATAGAACAAAAAACATAACCGTGGTTTTTCCTAAATATTGTCGGCTGTGCAATAAATATGTACATACATATGTATTGAAGTATGTGTATATCGATGGTCCTCTGCAATAACGGCACAACTCAAAATTTTATGTTTTTGAGTTGCATAGCGGATTAGGTTTATAAATAACCATATTTTTCTGTGGCAAATCGAAATATGCTTAGTTGTTACCAATCCGACATAGGCGCAGTATTGCCATTTGTCTCAGTATGGAAGTAGACAGGCCTTACTACTGAACAGTGGCACATGTCGCACATTTAACGTGAATATATGTAGGCATAAATCAAAAACTCTCGATGATAGGTTAGTGATTCTTTTTTTTCTGTTCGGCAATACCAGTGGAGTTTTTTTCGTTTAACTACTTTTTTCGTATCTTTGCAATCCAACCCTTACTAAATCTTTAGAAAAAAAATCATATAAAAGTTTACAAATTTTCCGCGCAGAATGGCTGCAAGCTATCCGGAGTAATTACGTTCCAAAACATATTATTGCTGAATTGCGAAACACAAAATCTTCAATTGGCTCTACTGAAAAATATAAAATTTTGAGTTGTGCCGTTATTGCAGAGCCCATCGATATGTAGAAATGAAAGCTTTGGTAGGTATTTATCAGCACGTCAATGTTAACAAATTCCTTGTTGAGGGGAGTTGCTGGCCATTTGGCTGGCATTATCGAACGCCCATTTCACATCAATTGATTATTTTACAATTTAATACAATTATTCGCTAGCACTTCAAACAGACAGTCACGCAAGCAAAAAGAAAATCTAAATGTGCGCACATTCCCACAAATGATAACGCGGTTTTTTACCTATTAAAAAAATGTTTGATTTGTATAAACTGTATCCAATGTCAAAGTATGTGAAA